TCTAAAAAAGAAGAAAATCCAGAGCTACTATTCTAAACTATATTATTAAATTAAATTTGGCAACGTAAGATTGATTTTTGTGTCAGAAAACTTCCTCCCACTCATTAGAAAAACCATCAGACACTCTAACACATTCCATTCTTTTTGTACCATAAGAGCAAAGTACATAATTCGATAGAAAAAATGATATAATAATGCCTCCAGATTTATGCTAATTTTCATGAACATTTTGAAAATGTCTTTAAAAGTAAAATATTTTGAATTTACCAAAACGAAACAATTTTCACATTACAAACAGCACTCACAGCCCACGTAAAGTACCAAAATGAGGTAAACATATTCACAAATCCCCTTTACTAGTAAAAATATGGTTATAAATACTGAGAAAAAAAAACAAAACAACAACAATCATTAACTGCACAAAGCATGTACATTATTATTTAAATATTGAATCTTTTTACTTTTCCTAAAGTCTCGGTTCATTTTTCTTGAGTTGGATCTTATTGAAATATTTTGTCTCATCTCGAAGTATACAGCTTGAATTATTTTTCATAACATACATATTACAATTATACATGTATATTAAAAGTTTTATGTTCAATAGACTATGTAATATTGTTTTATTTTTCTTGCTGTGTATGTAATACCATTAGTTACTATTTTGTTCTACCTCTTAACCAAGTGATCGTGGGTTCGAGCCCTTCTCGACTCAAGACTATGATTCCTAATAATTATTATAACAGTGCTGGTTAGTTAAAGAAAACGTACTCGAAAGTACTTCAAATAGGGTAAAAGTTGTCTGCCCGATTGAGCTGAAATGACTATCTGTTAAACTCAAAGTTATCATTTTTTGATACTATAATATAATTATTTAGAAAAAGATACATTTAGTTGACAAAAGAAAAGTAGATGTATATATATATTGATTGTCACCGAAATACAGGCATTTTTGGAGTCAAAATGAATAGACTTTTTACTGTCCCTTATGAATTTATGTTCATACAACGCGTCTATCGTCAAATGCCCGCCTAATAATTACAAAATATATACATTGCATATAAAAGAATTTTCAACAGCACTCGATAAATATTTCTTACGTAGATGTATTTTGAATCTGCCCTATGATTCACAGAGCTATACATGTTTAAGTATCATCGGAAACCAGCCGTTCCCAACTCATGCTTAAGGTCCGTTTTTATGCATTATTAAATGAATTATTCAATTTTGCTATCATATCCTATTTCCTTATACATTCACCAGACTAAAACATTGTTGGAATATCAACGCTTTTTATACAACGATATTACTATTTATAGAAATCATCAATGTATTTGAACATGCACCCACGTGTCGGGGAGCTGTCATTTTTCACCCACGTGTCGAGGAGCAGTCATAACATACCCGCTGTTAAATATAACACATTTTAGATAATATGCGTTTTAGCCTAGAGAGCATAAAATCGGCGGCCATCTTGGACGCCATCTTGGATTCTGAAGCGTTGTGAAAGCTTTGAATTTTATGTAAAAGAGAGACTATATACTTGCTCTGGTGTAAGTTTCAGATTTGGACAAAAAATTGATGCAATGGCTATTGACTCTTAAGCTATATTGACTATCATTGTACCATGACAGTAAAATTCACATGACTGATATACGTTCACTAATTCATCAATACAATCTACGTTCACTAATCGATAAACTTACTATATAAACTAAAGTAATGCCATGAAATACAATCAGAATGATGTATGTTATTTGCTTTGAAGACCAGTAAATGTACATTAAACGCTCTTTATCTTTGAGAGACACTCCTTCTGTTTAAATATTTACACCTCCATTTTGAAGATTTATTTTTATTACCAAATCACGTGCCAGTCAGTATGGTATTCCTACGTACAGGGGAGATAATCACCGATCGTTTATAGAAAACAATCTTTGAGAATATGATGGTATACACTGAAAAATATTCGAAATGATTTGAATTTTATCACATGAACCACAGAACAGTAGTGCAATAGAAAGGAAACTACATTACTTAGAGAACATTGCAACGTGACGGCATTTGCGTTATATACAAGCAGCGTAAAAGCGTATGTTAACGTTATATATAAAAGTGTCACCAAAACAGTATGAAACAACAAAGACATACATCTGAGGCGCACAGACGGGCGCCGCCTTGGAACGGTCAGCAGCATAAGTACTGCTGGGGAGTTTAAACCGGTTAATGGTGCACCGAACCACAATGTTCCTTAAAACGACACATTGTAAATAAAATGAATCCTCGCCAAATTCTATCAGTTTTTATGGTTACAAAAGGTAAAATAAGTAAAACACAGAAATCTACCAAATGGACTGTCTCTAAGCACGTCCATTTTACTAGTTCAAGAACAAGTCAATTATACAGGTTTAAGGAAAATGCCGTTATACAAGTTTAAGAACGAGTACATTATACAAGTTCAAGGACGAGTTCAATATTAAAGTTCAAGGAAGAGTCCATAATACAGTTTCAAAGACGAGTCCATCATACAAGTTCAAGGATGAGTCCATCATACAAGTTTTAAATACGAGTCCATTATAAAAGTTCAAGGACGAGTCCATTATACAGTTTCAAGGACGAGTCCATCATACAAGTTCAGGGACGAGTCCATGATACAGGTTCATTGATTTTATTTTAGTCATAATAACACTTAAAATAAAAAGACCCCTCGCAACTTCACTCTGATACAGGATACCAGTCATGAGAACGCCATCTTATCCAGTAACAATACGAGATCTACATTTATAGAAAGTTTTCGATCAACGTTGAGTCATTAATTAGCTGTTTTATATATCGTAATTGGCGCCACCACGGATGCTGTAAGTGGGGATTATATTTATAAGCTATCCATAATGATGTGAAGCCGGTATCAATCTTGGAATCTACTGTTGTTTTTTTTTCCATACGAGTTGACGAGGAAGAAAAAGATATATTACAAAACACTGAAATTAGAATAAAGTTGAATGTTAAAGAAAATAATTGCAATATTGCTGTATAAAGAGAATGTTTGATTTTTTTGCGTGTAAGTTCAAAACATATCGATTACTCCGTGGTAAAGATTATGCCTCAAAAACAAATAAATTTTACTTCTTTGAAAAGGACAAGCATGAGTTTTATAAAGTTAAAATAATAGTTTTTGAGCATGTTAGATGCTTGTAACAAGGAGAAATCAGCGTTATTTGTCATAAAAATAGCATTTTGTAAACAAAGTAGTATTTTGACTTTAATACAAAACACTAAATCACTGTACCTGTACTAATTGCCTAAAAGCATCAGAAGAAAAAAGATGGTTCATGTAATTGGCTTTGGAAACTATAGAAGTGCAAGAAAATGAAAAGCTGTTGAATATTGAAAATAACAGCATTTCTGGGGCATAAGGGACCTTTAAATACCTGATGAAATATTGTTATAGAATTTATAAACAGTAAAACTTTATTGTTTCTTTAAATCTTATGGATGAATTTTGAAAAGAGTTGTTACAAAGAATGTCTCCATTCCATATATAACACACAAGGATATTGTATGCACTTTGTGTAAACAAAATAAAATATTCTTGAACGAAATAATCTGTTGCTTAACCGTTTAGCAATGATTTATGCGCCATTCACTTTTAATGCAATATACGCTGACTGTCTGACACTTTTTTTGTCTGCCCCGGGTCTACTTATTCAGTTCTTACCAAAGAATTGTATATCAGACGTTTCTATCAAACACTATTTTATTGTATCTCATTAGATGTATTTGGTTTTAATTAATTAATATGATAATAATTCACGGTAATGATTAGTGGTATCTTCCCCCAACTTTGTTTTAATAAATGATACTTTTCTATTTTCAAGTGTTATTTTACTTTATATAATCATATTGTTTTAAAAACGTAAGATGACATTACATTTGAAAATTAATAATATAAATCACTTTTGCATTAGCATTATAAGTCCATGCTTGTTAAGTTCCCAATTTACTCAAAATATCCGAGAAAAGTGGAGACTGACCGGCTTTCGGGCTTTTTTCTTGGAGTGTTCAACGAAATTGTGATCGCTGTCTTTCTCGCTTAATCTCCGCATATAAGACCTGATCATGGTCACATGATTCAGACAGCTAGAGCACTAGAGAGAATACTTTCAGGATGGATAACACTTGTTATAGTTTGTTATCGACGTCATGAACGTCATTTATTGTATTGTCAGCGTGCTGCGGGTTTCGTACCCCTTGTCATTTGAAAAGTTCACAGAATTGTTATTTGTAAACATTTTGTATTGATTTTTTCACTGTGTAAAGAGAACATGTTCCAAAGTTTGTTTCTTGTAAAATTATATGTACGTTAATAAAAAAATGTGGACAGTAGAGCTGCAGTCCTATTACTTTTTAAACAACCCTCGTACAACCATATTACTTTCATACAACCATTTCGGAAGTATTCTTTTTAAATTCAAACAATGATTTTTGCAGTAGATATATAGCTTTATACAATTTATATAAATTGGCTTTTAATACATTATAAAAACTTGTTTTCATCTCACATTTGCATGAATTTGTACATCAGAAAATTGAATACTAGTATCTGTTTTATTGAAACAGTTCGTAACTATCCGGTAGGTAGAATTTTGCAGACAATTGAAGCTGCAGTACTGTCAAGGAAATGTGCAATAAATGTCTGCAAACGTGTCATTTAAAGATACCATCAGACGCTTTTTAGACACGATGCACAGTTGAAAAGATAAGTAAATTAGTTTAGCGTATATTCCCCCTTGCAATTTAAAACTTTGGCAATTCAAACATCTTCCAAAGTCGGCATTCTAGACAAAACGTAGCTATTTGTTTCAGCAATGTGTTATTAAATGTAAGATTAGTCTTCGTACCCAATATTTTCGCCCACACATTGACACAGAACGTAAACATATTCTAAGAGAACGACAGCACGTTACTAGAGAACGAAGTAACGCTAATGGCGAATTACTTACCTTTTGTTCCTTGAAATAATGCAAACGACCAGACGGCCATGGGCAAGGTTAGAACATAACGCTCCATTCCGTCGTGTATTTCTGAAACAGAAAGCAACTATAGTAAAATCTTTTGCAAAAGACCGACAGCGGGAAATAGAAAAGTTGCCATGTTTACAAAACTTGTCTGTATTCGGGGAAATGATCTCATTGTTTGTTTGACTTTTGCTTTCCATTAGCAACTAAAAACTTGTAATTATTATCATATCAATAATTTATACAAAAAGCAATTAGTCTCCTGTTTAACAATGTTTTTAAGTCTCAGATTTCAAGCAGATAGTCCGCTATATGTACATATCAATAACTTGAAACATGCATTCAGGCAGTATTTACGCTCTTTTCCGTCTAAAATATTCGATATTCGCGTAGTCAAATAACAATAGGCAAAATTATTGGCAAATAGTGTGTTCTGGAATGGAACAATGGAGCCATAATTTTCGTATATTCTTTTACAACGAAACATCATTTCATTGTTGATTGTTAACTCGGAATCAATCTGATTTCTCATAAAATGTTTCGAGGCAGTGTGGCGAATAATTATTTACACTGCACAAATATGTGAATAAAGTGCGCCCGCAATAGAGATAATTGTAATTAAAAATCACTGCGAGAAATCATTTGTCATCTGTATTTAACTAGTGAATTACTATTCAAGATCTATATCAAATAACCAAACCAAGAAAAGAACTAAATGATTAAGTCACCTTTCCTGTATAATATTAATATTACCAAAATGGGTCAAACGTATACATGTACATTAATTTGATGGTTTGACCACAAAAGTTTGGTATATAAAAACGGTTCTCCCGTACATGACGTTCTGTATATTTACCACCTTCAGACACAAGAACCTTCATATAGACAATTAAAAACTCTTAAAAAAAAGAATTTCTTTTAAGAATATTAAAAATAATTTTGGGTTGAAGCGAAAAAGGGTAAACAAATTTATGTTCGCCGTTAGTGTAGCATAAACATAAAATAGAGCGAAGTACATGTACATGCATCATTCACAAGTTACTATATTTTGACACAATTTGTAAAAGTAAGCTTATTAAAAATATACGAGTCTTCATAATCTTTGACTATATTTACTTACTTTTACTTAAGTTTGGTTTAAATAATATTTATTTCTTCTTCCAGGTTTTCAGTACAAAAAAAACAATACTTTAAATACACAATTTGTCAAAGAAATTGCTTTTTATGAAATTTTTTAAACATGTCAAACATGTGTTTAATAATGTTTTTATAATCATGAATTTAGAGCATGTTAGATGTTTAACAACTGAAGAAAGTAGCATTGAATGTGCAGTAATTTTTCGTAAAGGTAGCATATTGTACACAAAATGTTATTTTGACTTCCATACAGAATACTTATTCGCTATAATTATACCAATTGCCAACAAGGCAAAAGAATCAAAGATAGATCATCTATATGGCAAGTAAGTATTTTTTATTGGAATTAAGATACCAAAGATTTAAGTTTTTGTGAAATAAAAATAATAGCATTTTTGAGGCATAATGGGCCTTTAACTTTAGAAAGTTTACAGTTTATATGAAACATTCTCATTACTTACGTTTGTGTATACTGGTTCAGAAAAAAATACACTTTTAATAAAACTACAATGTATATAAAATATGTATAAAAAACATGAACATGTACATGTACATACTTTACCTAAAATCACAATTTAAATTCCTTTCATGAAAAGTAACCGCGCAAAAATGTTCACACATTTAATTTCTCCGTTCCGGCACATGGAGGTTTTTCATCGGCAATGTCATGTTGAATTATTTCCCATTCAATAAAAGTCCATTAAATATTCAACATTGTCATCACCACAAACTTAAATATTGTTTTAATTTTCACGTATGTCCACTCTATTTAAGATATTAACTATTGAAGTGACCGGCACACTACAATAAGGTTTAACCTATTTGACTTAAAGTATAACATAAAATTAAATATCCAGCTTTAAATCCTTGTATATATATTTTTAACAACCTGAAAGTTAAAAGTACGAATAACTAATACGGTACTTAAAAACCGAAGTATTTTTTGACATTCAAAATCATTTAATATTACATGAACACACTCCCCACGTCAACTTGTTTTCAAAAAACACTATCTTATCAAATTAAAAGTCGCGTTTTCCCACTAAAACACTGTTGTTGTTGTTTTTTATGTTACTCAAAATATCTGTGTTTTTTTTGCAAATTATGATTATTATTTTTTATTAAACTTTATATTTTTTTACAATATCATTACAGATCGTAACAGTGCGTGTCTCCTATATTTACTGAATAATTCTACTGACTGTGTCGTAATAATATTTATTTAAAACTGTGCTCACACAATTCACTAATTGAATCATATATCTATTTTCGCTTTTAATCTCGAATTTCCACGCTATGTTAGTTGTTCGAGAAACCCGTGCCGTTTTATTTATACAGCTTTCGTATTGTTGTCATAGTTCAATGATAGAGATTTTATTATGAAGTATCCCCTATGTAAATGGTTGGTATAGATGTATAATGTTTCACATGTTAAAGCATTTAAGTTACAAGAGAATCTGCGTAGTGATACATTTAACAAGACCGTTACTATTATGGTCCCCCTGCAATTTTACATGGTACTGTTTTATCGACACTATCTATGTTGTCAGGTAATTGGATTAATAATTCATATTAGGTATTAATTAGAAATTGAGTGTTAGGCTCGCAGCGACTGAAATTAATGCGCGGATGGTGGTTAAATATCGATTAATGGCGCGAATAAAATATAGACCTATCAGGCAAAACTGGCTGTTAATAAGGAAAAAGTCAGACATTCCGAAAGGTCATATAGTTCTGACACATTTTTCACAACAACCATTTCGCCGTTTTCTTTTGAAAATGATTTTTAAATGTGTCTATGTTATCTTAAATATAAATCCAGAATATAAATTTTCACAACAAATATTCCGCTGTTTTCTTTTGAAAATGCTTTCAAAATGTGTCTATGTTACATTAATTATAAATGCAGAATATTTCTACGAACCATAAACTAAAAGGATGCTGAAATTAAAATAGATATTCTACATTATTGATACATAATTATGCAAACATACATAAAATAATTAAAAAAAACATTGAACGTTAACTTGTCGGATGATTTGACGTCACCGTGACTAGACTGATAATAGCGTGACGTCATATATTGACGTCGTTACCAAGATGACATTGAGTGCAACGCTCAAGTGAACTTTGTTTTGTTTTATACAGTCATTGAAAAACTGTTTATTTAAGGGGCAGGAGTTAAAAAACGTGACCGTAAAGGTATGATTTTTTTTTATTTAGTAAGTTAATGTCATTTCTTCATTTTTTTTCTAAAATAAATTCAATAACCTCCTCTTTGGAACACTGAATACAGACGATGTTGGTATTAAGTTCCGTGTAGGCTGTAATACAGCGTGTTTCTAAATTAAAACTGTTACCAGGGCAGTCATTTAGCCAAAACGCGTGGCATTAAAAGACAGGTAATAGCCAGTCATGTTATCAAATATATCAAATTTGTCATGAAAATATGAGACAAATATTTCTTTTATAAACTAATAATTAATAAATCATATCATATCTTTAAATGGTTTTTATCTTAATGTTCATAGAAAAAAATAAAATTTTCATTATACTCATTGAAAAAAAAATGATTTATTCAAAATAATAATAAAGTGTAGCGGAAATAGACTTTTTTATGGAAGAAAAGTTATATAAATGTAAGAACTTAAACCGCGGTTTACTGCTGTGATAAATATGTAAGATAAAAAGCGGTTCACACACTGAAACTAGGGGATCAGACTTTATATTAATGTATGAATTGTTATTAACTTTATCTTATAAATGAAAGTTCTTCATTACATTTTAGACCAAACTAGAACACTCTTTTTTCTTTGTGGTATATATGTGATGTGTGCTGTTATTATTTTTTTTTTATAAAACTTTCAATTTACTAGACTGATTATAAATTTAGCCGATTTATCAAAGTAAATGTGTAATGATTCATTTGAATACCACAATTCTAATAAAAGGGTTTAAATCTTATGAAATGAATTTTTATAAAATTTATCAACAGTAAAATTGTTATGTTTCCATAATCTTATTGTCGTTACTCGAAAGAGTTGTAACATAAAATGTCTGTGTTATTTAACACGCATATGTTTATACGTAAACTACGGAAGAGTATAATGACCCCCCTTATATATTTTATATGCCTGTTTAAAATACGACGATACATGATAACAACATAGTTCGTAATGGTTTTTTAAAAATTATATATATACTTCATATTGAACTTTTCTGTTTTTGGCTACTATACTGTTAAAGATACGTATTATAAACTTAAGTCTTTCTTAAGACCTTACTTTTATTTATAATAAATATGTTTTTCTTCTTTTCATTGAAATTCTACCTCAAGAAGCAGACGTTTTCTTGGAGTAAACGCTTTTATTTATTTGAAAACTATGTTTTCGAGGCACTATTTGTTTGACAGATATAGAGATGATATAATCATATAATATATAATAATCAGACAAGCCACACAAACACGAACATTTAGTAATTTAATTTAATTGCAAACGTTTCGGCTATATGCCTTCATCAGTGCAAAACATAATAAAATTACCGGAAGCGACGTCATAACGGAACACGCGTTAAACGCGCGAAAAACGTTATGGCGTTTAGCGGCAAAACTATGATAACATGTAGAAACAAATATTTATGCTATAAATAAAGCTGGTACATGAATTAAAATGGATCAACAGTGATACAGATCTATGTCTATTAGACAGTGTTAATAAAAATAAGATAATAGACAAACATATTAATATTCATGTAACCTATTATAAATCAAACAATACTTTATTATTTAGTCCATTTGGAATCAAAGTATTTAATTTATGGATCCAAATAGATTCTTTACATAACCGGTCCATGTTGTTGTCTATAATTTCTATAGGTAAAAATGAAAAATCTGACAATGAACACTTATTATCGTTTGATCCGAAATGGATCGCAACATGTGAAACTGGATTAACGTCACAATTTCTTATATCAAATCTATGTTTATTCATTCTGCATGATACATTTTGATTAGTCTGACCTACGTATTGCTTTTTACAGCCTTTACATGTAATGAGGTAAATTACATTACGCGTAGTACAATTAACATCATTGTGTAAATCAAAAGAACTACCTGTTATGCTGCTATTAAATTGGGAACCAACAATTATATTGTTACAATGTGAACATCTACTTCGTAAACATTGGCTAGATAAAAATGTGCGGTCAAGTAAAGCACTTCTCATAAGATAATCTCGAATGTTTTTAGGACGTCTATATGCTAAAATAGGTTTGAACTTGGTATGTATATTTTTAACGCTTACCTTATCAGACAAAAGTAATAGATCCCAATATTTATTTAAGATTTCACCAATATTAGGCAGAGATGTATTAAAACATACAGTAAAAGGTATTATTGAACTAGTATTTTTAACGACAGGACTTAGAGCATCATTTTGGGACATGCCTTCAATTTTAGAAAACGCTTTCTCAATAATAGATTTAGGATAATTTCTATCAGAAAAATATCTATTTAACGTATCTAAAGACTGCTTAAAAGTTCCGTCATCGGAAATGACACGTCTATAACGTTTAGCTTGACTAAACGGGATACCACGCTTACATGATAAAGGATGAGAGGATGTAAAATCTAAATACAAATGCATATTTGTAGGTTTGCAAAATATATCGGTAACAATTTTTCCTGTTACGTCTTTAGATACAGAAACATCAAGAAAAGGTACCGAACTTTTAGAAATATTGTAAGTGAATTTAATAGTCGGGTGGAAACTATTTAAGGAATCTATAAAAAAGTTTAGCGTTTCCAAAGAATCATTCCAAATCATAAAAATATTTTTTTTTTTTTTTTTTTTTTTTTTTTTTCATATAATATATATATATTCTTTTTATATCAAAACGAGAAAAGGGCCATTTAATATTATAATAATAGATGCGACTTATTATACCAAGAGAATCTAATTTAATTTATAAATTCATACATCTTTTTTTATGAGATTAATATGATAAAAGCTTAAGTGCACAACTACTGTATGTTAAGAAGAACATTCTGTTCTCTTAAATTTCCAAATATCATCGAAGAAACAATGCATATTTGTGATTTATGGTGTATAATAACAGATAAAACTCTGCAAGATCTATTTTAAATATCATATAACTTGTCAATTTTGTAAAGATATGTATTATACAAAGTTTTTTTTTTCTTGAAGGCATAAAATTATATAAGGGGGATCAGTATACTCTTCCGTAGTAAACAGAACAAAATATTATTCTGCCACTTTAAGTCATGTTTTTATCTGTTTAACAATAATTTTAATTCTATGTACGCGCTTTTCGATCTTAAGGCACTTTTCTACCATACTACCATTTATTTCATATTAGGATTTTGAAAGTTTTTATCTAATAAAAAAATATCAAACATGAATATTTGCAGAAGAAATATAGCTTTGTCGGACCGTCCAACATAGCTTTATACACTTTAAAGTTATACTATGCTCAAAGTTGATATTTGAAAATATTGATAATTGCTACACAGCGTCTTTGTAGATATAAAATAAACATGCTTAAACTTCACACAAAGTAGATATGTTATGTTTTAAACTTAACTTACTATTGATTATGTTTTAAACTTTACACACTATTGGAATATATAGTGTCTTTAAAAAACCTGGCAGTTTTTAAAGAGAGAACCAACTTTACTGGGAATGCGGCTTCCCATATATAGTTTGAATTTTCTTATTTTTTCAAACTTGACATATTCAGTTACAATTTCATATAATTCAATGAAGTTTTTCGATTTAAATATTTTACTCAAAGATGAGCATTATGCATTTATAAATATAACTCCAATACATCTGTTAAATATTCTGATCTTATATAACTTTTATAGAAAATATTTCCCGGGATATATTTCTTATATCACCCTGGGGCACATGGATACCACCCTAATTGAAAATATTTATAATATATAATTATATATAATTATGTCGCGCATTCTCCTTTTTGACGTCATCACATCATGACGTCACATCATCAATTTTGAAATATAGTTCTGTTAAATTTCTCTTATTTTGTTACATTTTTAACATGATGTATGGTGACGTCGACTTTCTTTTCCTAAAGAAGCAAAATTTACGCATGACGGCATTTATTTCTGCCTGTTATTCCATTTAGTTATGCTTTTCTTTTCATCCGCATTCAGATATAGTTTGGCTACAGTGAAAATTATATTTTATAAATTTCACTAGTGGTTTATCAGAATATAATCATCTGATATATTACAATAAAACACTAGAAAGCATGAAATAAAAATGATTTTTTTGCAACTCGTTCAATAAATTTAGTATTAAACCTACACTTATTCAATATCCTGTATGTTTTCAAACCACTTTGTATACTCTCAAATAGTTTTTATCGAATGGTTGCATATATGTTTTATCTAGTATCTTTAATATATGATATATGTGTCACGTATGTGATGGAAAAGTGTCAAACAACTACAGACGTTCCTATAAATAAAACGTCTATTACTTTAAAGTGTAATAGGCCCTATCATTGACTGCTGAATTGAATTTGTGACATCTTTATAACTTCCAACTTTCAATTCTGACGCAATGACGTCTTTAAATCATTTTATCACATAAACCGCGGCGCAGGAGTGTAATAAAGCCATTTAATAAAAACGATATTACACTAGTCAATATTACACTAGTGTAATAACACTTTGACGTCACGTAATTTGCGCTATAAACATAGCGTTAAAGAAAAATGATTCTTGTTAACAGTTTACCGTTCTTATTTTATATATGTGATAAATAGAACATTATATTCGTGTAGATTCAATACTAAATTTATTGAACTCGTTGAATAAAACAATATTATGCTCGCCAGAGGCTCGCATAATATTATTTTATTCAACTCGTTCAATAAATTTAGTATTAAACCTACACTCATTCAATATCCTCTATAAATTTTATTAAAGAAGAAAATTGTGAAATGTTTGAATTATTAAAGACTTCCTGCAGCAATTTTTTTCTAACTCACCGAGTAAGACTAAGGATTTTTGCGGCTTTTCTCGTTTCAAGTAACGTTATTATGACGTAATTGTTTGACGTCGTAACCATGTGCATATGACACAGTCAGATTTGATTTGAACTTTTAAGTTTATGTTTCAGTTGAGGAGAAAGCAGAAAGGCAGTGTATGGGAAATATTTTTCAGAAAAGAGATTTGTAAAGGGCACATTTACCTAGCTAGGTAAAATATAATTATTTTTGATTTATTATGTATTTATTACGGAAGCACAGAGGGGACATTCCGATTTTATATTATTTCCTATCTCGTGGCCACGAGTTATCTCTCAGAAAAAAAACAAAAAACAAACAATCCCTATCTCGTGGCCACGAGACGTAACTCAGAAAAAAAACGAAAAACAAAATGCTATCTCGTTCCCACGAGATACAACTAAGAAAAAAAACACAAACAAAAAATCCTTATCTCGTGGTCACGAGTTATAACTCAGAAAAAAACAACAACAAAAAACAAAATTTGCAATCTCGTGGCCACGAGTTATAAATAAAAAAAAATCGCTATCTTGTTATCGCGAGTTAATCGACCAGTCAGCTTTTTATTCTATCTCGTTAAAATAAAATCATTCTATAGGCCGCCATCTTGTATGTCTACTCGCGCCGAAATCAACGAGCGCATCTTCGATTTTATTGGTCAGCTAACTCGTTACCACGACCTAGATGTGTTTATCTGATTAGTCTGCTAACTCGTGGCCACGAGATAGCAATTTTTGTTTTTTGTTGTTTTTTCTGAGTTATAACTCGTGGCCACGAGATAGCAATTTTTTTTTCTGAGTTATAACTCGCGGCCACGAGATAGCGAATTTTTGTTTTTTTTTTTGTTTTATTCGGAGTTATAACTCGTGGTCACGAGATAGCAAATTTTTGTTTTTTGTTTTTTTCTGACTTATATCTTGTGGGAACGAGATAGGGAATTTTTTTTTTTTTTTTTTTGAGTTATATCTCGTGGCCACGAGATAGGAAAATAAAATAAAATCGGAATGTCCCCTCTGTGCTTCCGTAATTTATAAATATTGATGAAATTAAATGCGTATTTGCATTTTCCGTACTTTCACTGTAAAAATTTACGTTTCACTGTAATGAAACATATGAATGAAACGTATTTTCACTGGTCTCTTGCCGGAAAACTTTCTTCTAAATTCAACCAATATACAAAAGTTAAGGGAAAGCCTTTCAAAATGTAATGTCAAAAATTGAGAGAAAAATGTACATGTATATAATAAACAGAAAAATCAAGTTTTTTTTTCTATAAATAAAGGATTTATTTTCATCGAGTGGTATGGTATGAAAATTATCATATTTCATACCACTCGATGAAAATAAATACTGTGTGTATAGAAAAAACTTGAATATCCTCTATTTATCCTCTATTTATTTCATGTTCGAACAGTAGAACCAGATCATTATTTTAACATTTTCAGATCAAATTTTTTAAGATCAAACTATCGTGAATCCCACTCGTGAACACCAGTTGTTCAGATTCATTTAGTTTTATTTTTTAAATATTCAGATTTATTTTCATGTAAAAAATAACATTTTCAAATGTCCTTTGTAAGAGTTATCACTGAAATGCTAGACTAAGTGGTCTGAAAATACGGCTGTCGTTTCATTAAGCAATTATTTTATCTTGATGAATTATAAAATTTGACAATCAAAACAAAACAAACATGTAAACGAACTAAATTTAACTTCAACTGTTACTTAGATTTATAATTTTACACTCAATTTAACTTGAAAACCACTGATAAATTTTAATACAAACTACACACATATGTTAAGAGTTATTACATAAAGATCAGTTCTACCGATGACACAGACAATAAATAACATCTTGTATATCAATCAATATGTTCCCAATATATTCAGATGTGCTGGTCCCTCTTTTATTCTGTTTAATCAAACATAGTTTCTGGCTAAATTTCATTTTCATTAATGTCCCTGACTGCAGAGCTATAATAAACAATTTAAAAAGAAAACATATACATATTCAATACGAACGACATTTCTGTATGGCCCAATGTTGATTACAACTTACCTATGCTAAATCTATAAGTTCGGAGATTAATATTTAGTAAATCGTGCCCCGAAAAAGGAATGAACTAACAAATGAACGAACGGACGAACAAAAAAAAAAACACCACCAAAACCAAACCAAATCAGCCCAGAACAAAACAAACACCATCCAGAAATCAAATACCACGAATTTCTTTGTTAACAAATATTTATTATCAGAACCTTTAGCTTTCAAACTAGATCTTTACACACATATATGTCATAGTGCACTGAATGGTGACTCAAGTATATACATTGTATTATCTTTTGTTAATTTACTTAAAGTGACATTATGCCCATCAAAGGGTATATAGTGAGTGAACAGGTGAATATCATAATAAGATTTCATTTTGCCATAATTACTTTTAATTGAATAAATTGTTTCCCATAAACAATAAATAATGCGCAGATACAAATGAAATTTCTGTAAATATCTATTAGAATTTACCTATAACGCTGAGTTTATAAAAAGAGTGGGACAGTCTTTTTATATTTCAGACATATTTATAATTTTATCCTAAATGTTTTCCAATATTTTCTGTTGGTCAAACACCATTTTAACGGTCAATCTTTTGAAATATAAAGTCAATTCAGCTCAACTTTACTATGAAAATATGAGCCTAATGTCACTTTAATCCTTTATAAAAGTGCTACAGCATGGGATTATGCCTGTTATTTTCTTCTATAGATGTGGCTTTTACGGGATGAAAAACGGAGAATAAGGCGTGCAAAGCTCTTCAGTTATTTCCCCTTCTTGTACTCGCTGTTCCCCAACAGCAATCGTCGGGGTAGCTACGATTTAGAGAAAAGACGTCGACAAGAGAATGTCATCATTCCTTCCGGAAGTAACTGCAAGAAAACATTTCCTCCTCCGAAAGATGACATGGAAGAAAAGTTTTTAATGGCACTTTATGATGAGGGGCTTCTCAAAACAAACTTTATCATCAAAGACGGCAGCAAGAAACGCAAACGAGAAACGATGGTCGTCTTTGTCAAATTTGATCACCCGGTTATCGAAATCGGCCTCGGATTTACCAATAGAGAGCTTGCTATGACAGACAGATTCGAGAAATATCGCTGCTTCATGCCAAACAACGAATTGGAAATTGACGGCACCTGTCGAGTTTCCATCGAAATTAAACAAGAGCTTCCCAGGAGACATCGTGGAAAATCGCAAAGTCGTATTGTGTCAACGATGATCGATATCTATGACCCGGAAGTTGAAAATCATCTGCTTAAGAAGTTTAGGAGACGTCGGAGGAGACGTCGCTCAATCTTTACGCGAAAAGGGTAAATATTTCACGTTGACTTAATCAAAATGAAAATGTTGATAATCCATATAAAATAAACATACCTTGAAAAGATATATATGGAATCAAAATCTTCTTTATTTATGATTTTACATTTTATAAAACAAATGCTGAATTTCTGTAGAACAGTAATTTAAATAAAGTTTTGAATAATAATAATTTTGTAAATATTTAAATGCGAGTTTTATATGGCAAATAGACAAATTAGCTGACAAAAAACAACAACAACAAAAACAAAAAATGAGAACAGATAATTATCATAATCAAGGAACTTTACCCACAAATTTCGTTTATTGTTTACGCGGACTTGTATATTCAGAAACATTTCACAGAAAATATTTGTTTTAATTCAAATCTCATTTTACAGACAACACGGACTAGTCCGCCCACCGCCAACTAAACCAGTTTTGATTGGAGATAATTTGGCGGCCGAGAATAGGTTAAACCCAAGGTTCATGATGCCACATCAGACACCCGAGGAATTACGAGTCATGATGCATGTTATGACGTATAGGATGGGGGAGCTGGGCGAGCAACAACGATTCTACAGATACCGACAGGGGCCAGTTCCGGCAGACTATGTGTTACCGGTATGTTACATGTGTTCATATAATTGTTAATCCTGTATTCCGTGGTGTATATCTGTGTTTTGTGGTGTTTAACAGTATGTTTGGTTCTGTGGTTTCGTGGTGTAAGTAATAATTTTTATACTGTAAGACAGTGTGTTTGATGATGTATGTCAATGTGTCCTGTTGTGTACGACAGTGTGTTTGGTGGTCTGTTACAACGTGTGTTCGGTATATGACAATGTGTTTGGTGATTATATAAATATGTTTTGTTGTGTATTACAATGTGTTGGTGGTGTATGACATTGTGTTTGGTGCTTTATGTATATTTTTTGTACTGTATGACAGTATATTTGGTGGTGTTTATGATTTTGTTTGCTGTGTATGACAATATGTGTACTGGTGTATGTCAATATGTTTTGTTGTGTATGACAATGCGTTTTGTTGTTATGAGAATGTATTTAGTGGCGTATGACAATGTGTTTTTGGGTGTTTGGTGATGTGTGACAGTGTATTTGGTGGTGTATGAGAGTGTTTGGTATATGACAGTGTATTTTGTAGCGTATGTGTTTGGTGGTATATGACAGTGTGTTTGGTTGTGTATAACAATGTATGTTGTGGTGGTTGGCAGTCTTTGACGGCGAATGTCATAGCGTTTGGTGACGTATGACAATGCGTTTTGTGGTGTATGACAATGTGTTTTGTGGTGTATGACAATGTGTATTGTGGTAATATCAATGTGTTTTGTGGTGTATGACATTGTATTTAGCGGTATATGTAAATGTGTTTTTTGTGTATGACAATCTGTGTTGTGGTGTAAGACAGTTTGTTTAATTGCGAATGTCATTGTGTATGGTGGCGAATGACAATGTGTTTGGTGGCGTATGACAATGTGTTTGGTGATGTATGTCAATGTGTATTATTATATGGCAATGTGTTTTGTTGTGTATGGCAGCGTGTTTTGTGGTGTTTGGAAGTATATGAAATTAAGTTTTGTGGTGTATTAGAGTATGTTTTGTAGTACATAGCATGTATTGCTTGGTAGTATATGCCATTGTGTTTGGAAATGTATTGCATTGTGTTTTGCAGTGAATGACATTGTTTTAGTAGTGTATGACATTATGACAGTGTTATTGGGGGTGTAAGATAGTGTTTGGTATGTATGGCAGTGTACTTGGTTCGTTTGACGGCGTGTTTGGAAAATTTATGACAGTAAATGAGGAGGTAGTGTGTTTTTATGTTAGACGGTGTTTTTATTTTAATTATTACGGTGTAATTTGTATGAAAGTGTGTGTGTGATAGCAATGTAAATGTATTTGGTAATGCATGACTGTGTGCTTTGTGTTGTACGAAAGTATGTGGTTGTGCAAGCAGTTCCGTTAGCATCGGACTTGTGGGGCGTCCGTTGCCCAGTGGTTAAGGTCGTTGACTTCGAATCTTTTCCCCTAACCGCTATGGGTTCGAATCCCGACAAGGACTTTGGATTCTTCCATATGATGAAGTTATCCAGCTAGCTTACGGAACGTCGGTGGTTCTACTCAGGTGCCCGTTCCTGCCTTAAATAATGTACAGAAGTGCTCCTGAGGTCTTCCCCCACCAGTAAAGCTGGACGGCGCCAGAGCGACGTAAAACCCAATCAATCAATGAATCAATCAATGAATCAATCAATGAATCAACCAATGAATCAATGAATCAATCAATCATCCATCCATCCATCCATCCATCCATCCATCCATCCATCCATCCATCCAACCAACCAAACAACCAACCATCAAACGAACAAACAAACAAAACAAAACAAAACAAACATCGGATTTGTAATCCAGGTGTGGCTTTTTTGTTGCTCAGATAAGCCATAACTAGTCAAAAGCCAGAAATATATTTCCTAGATTATTTAGTCCAATTGTCATTTGTCTCTCAACGGTGATTCAAAGTCTTGTGGGATTACTAAAATGTCACTTGCGAGGAAACTGGTAATTACTGGTCAGTTATCTAGGAAAGAACTAACCACCAAGAGAAAAACAAACATTTTAATACATGTATTGAAATAATCCTAATCACAAGAAAACCAAACAATATGTTTGGTTGGATGTGTGTAACAGTTTGTTTGTGTATGACAGTGTGTTTGTAGTGTATAACACTTTTTTATATTGTATGACAGTGTGTTTGGTGATATATGTCAATGTGTTTGGTGGTGTTTGTCGTTGTTTTTGATTAGGCATAACAATGTTCGATAGTGTATGACAGTGTGTTTTGGTAGTGCATGATATGGTGTTCAGTTGTGTTAAAAATGTGTTCGATAGTGTATGACAGTGTGTTTTGGTAGTGTATGACATGGTGTTTATTTGCGTTAAAAAATGTGTTCGGTAGTGTATGACAGTGTGTTTTAGTAGTGCATGACATGGTGTTCATTTGTGTTAAATTGAGTTCGGTAGTGTATGACAGTGTGTTTTGGTAATGCATGACATGGTGTTCATTTGTGTTAAATTGTGTTCGGTAGTGTATGACAGTGTGTTTTGGTAATGTATGACATGGTGTTCATTTGTGTTAAATTGTGTTCGGTAGTGTATGCCAGTGTGTTTTGGTAATGTATGACATGGTGTTCATTTGTGTTAAAAATGTGTTCAGTAGTGTATGACAGTGTGTTTTGGTGATGTATGACATGGTGTTCATTTGTGTTAAATTGTGTTCGGTAGTGTATGACAGTGTGTTTTAGTAGTGCATGACATGGTGTTCATTTGTGTTAAAAATGTGTTTGGTAGTGTTTGACAGTGTGTTTTGGTAGTGCATGACATGGTGTTCATTTGTGTTAATTTGTGTTCGGTAGTGTATGACAGTGTGTTTTGGTAATGTATGACATGGTGTTCATTTGTGTTAAATTGTGTTCGGTAGTGTATGACAGTGTGTTTTGGTAATGTATGACATGGTGTTCATTTGTGTTAAATTGTGTTCGGTAGTGTATGACAGTGTGTTTTGGTAATGTATGACATGGTGTTCATTTGTGTTAAAAATGTGTTCAGTAGTGTATGACAGTGTGTTTTGGTAGTGCATGACATGGTGTTCATTTGTGTTAAATTGTGTTCGGTAGTGTATGACAGTGTGTTTTGGTAGTGCATGACATGGTGTTCATTTGTGTTAAAAATGTGTTTGGTAGTGTATGACAGTGTGTTTTGGTAGTGCATGACATGGTGTTTTGGTAGTGTATGACATGGTGTTCATTTGTGTTAAATTGTGTTCGGTAGTGTATGACAGTGTGTTTTGGTAGTGCATGACATGGTGTTTTGGTAGTGTATGACATGGTGTTCATTTATGTTAAATTGTGTTTGGTAGTGTATGACAGTGTGTTTTGGTAGTGTATGACATTGTGTTTTGGTAGTGTATGACATGGTGTTCATTTGTGTTAAATTGTGTTCGGTAGTGTATGACAGTGTGTTTTGGTAGTGCATGACATGGTGTTCATTTGTGTTAAAAATGTGTTCGGTAGTGTATGCCAGTGTGTTTTGGTAATGTATGACATGGTGTTCATTTGTGTTAAAAATATGTTCGGTAGTGTATGACAGTGTGTTTTGGTCGTGCATGACATGGTGTTCATTTGTGTTAAAAATGTGTTCGGTAGTGTATGACAGTGTGTTTTGGTAGTGTATGACATGGTGTTTATTTGTGTTAAAAATGTGTTCGGTAGTGTATGACAGTGTGTTTTAGTAGTGCGTGACATGGTGTTCATTTGTGTTAAAAATGTGTTCGGTAGTGTATGACAGTGTGTTTTGGTAGTGCATGACATGGTGTTCATTTGTGTTAAAAATGTGTTCGGTAGTGTATGACAGTGTGTTTTGGTAGTGCATGACATGGTGTTCATTTGTGTTAAAAATGTGTTCGGTAGTGTATGACAGTGTGTTTTAGTAGTGCATGACATGGTGTTCATTTGTGTTAAAAATGTGTTCGGTTGTGTATGACAGTATGTTTTGGTAGTGCATGACATGGTGTTCATTTGTGTTAAAAATATGTTCGGTAGTGTATGACATTGTGTTTTGGTAGTGCATGACATGGTGTTCATTTGTGTTAAAAATGTGTTCGGTAGTGTATGACAGTGTGTTTTGGTAGTGCATGACATGGTGTTCATTTGTGTTAAAAATGTGTTCGGTAGTGTATGACAGTGTGTTTAGTGGTGTTTACAGTTTAGTGTGTAGTAATTTATGACAGAACAATTATTAGTGATGTGCGACGGTGTGTGTTGTATATATTTCAGTATTTTGACAGTACATATACGATCTTGTTACGTCTAATTTTTCCTTCACTTTCTCTTCTTATATTTTAGAACAATCTAAACGATGTTAGCCAAAGAGAAACAGACAGGCATTTTCCACGGCGCCCAACTGTACCACGGAGCGTGCACAGAAGCGGGAGTGACCCGGATCAGCCGTTAGATAACCGACGTGTAATACCTGCTGTCTTTGAATTTGAGGAGTCAGATATGTTTCATCTATAAATAAAACCCGGATGTCCGAGAAATGTATAAAATATCATCTATAAACCTGGATTTGTTTTGACCTTTTTTTGGAATATTTAACATGTAACCTAAATAGAAATGTTTTTTTCATTTTTGTTACCTTTAAAAGCTTGAACTTGAAAATCAAAACGAACTGTTAAATTATAAATCGTTTTGAATATTTTTGAAAATTTGCTCTGGATATTTTTCTGTGAAGTTTAAAATTAAAAGTAAAATAAATGCTTTATAAAGTCTATTTCCACTGTTTTCATTACACCATGTAAAATGCATTTTGTGTGAATGAAATTATATTATACTTGTATTATTATGTCTGCCTCAAATAAGATAAGACATGTCATTCAAAAAGAGCGTTTTCTGGTTTAAAATTATTTCCCACAATTAACTTAACAAAAAATATACCCTTTGATTAAAAACACAAAAACTTCAAATTACTTGCAAACGAAAACAAAAAAGGACCTGTGATACAACGGGAGGTAACTCTGAAATTAAACAGCGCATACTTCTGAATAGTTAGTTCTCTTCCAAAACAACAAGGCTCTTTACAATAATTTTGTGTAGAAGCACAAGGAACAAGGAAACTCAGACCTGTCCTCCAGTAAAAGGCTTACATGCAATGCCGCAAATTTGTAATACCAATAAAGCCTAGAAAAGCTACAGACTAGATTTTGATGACTGTAGTTTATCTGCTGGTATTTATAGAAAGATATAATGCCTAAATTCTATAAACATATTCAGACTTTATTTAATTGAAAAGTCTGAATTGTGCATATTTTATTAACATTATATATAGTTGCTTACGGAAGTATTTGTAATAACCAGTCCGTAAAACCACGGGCTTAAATTACATGTAAATTAATTCCAGTGGTAAAACTAAATAAAACAGGCGTTTTACAAATAAAACCAAACTTAAAGGCCGTGAATGTAAGTTATTGAATCATTTAATACTCCTGTTGTTGTGTACAGTACTGTATTTGCGGCATATACTGTCATATACACACTAAGTATACTGCTGTCTGTGATCGTGCATTTAGAAAGTATATTGGGACCGAGTCCAGTTCTACCGCCACTGAGGCAGGTCTTCATTACTGGTTTGACAGATAATTGAGCCGCGTCATGACAAAACCAACAAAATGGGTTTGCGACCAGCATGAATCCATACCAGCCTGCGCATCCGCGCAGTATGATCAGCATCCATGCTGTTCGCTTACATACCCTATAACAAGTAGAGAAACTGATAGCGAACAGCATGGATCCTGATCAGACTGCGCGGATGCGCAGGCTGGTCTGGATCCATGCTGGTCGCAAACGCACTATGTTGGTTTTGTCGTGACGCGGCTCATTAATTATGTAAATATTATTGAAATATCTACAGTATTTCATTTATTTTAATATACAGGTAACACATACTACATGTACTAACAAAACAGTGAACTATATTATCACGTCCCTTTAATAGCAACATGTGTTAATAACCACACATTTTCAGTAATACTAAAGAACGCAAAATCATACCGTTCAGTTAAATAGAAGACAAATGGGACAACAGCAGTGCTAAGATAAAATATAGCAAACCTGGCTTCCAAAGTGCCTTTCGTTCGGAAGTTCAAGTTGTCATGTCAGTGTAATTTGGAGTTTAAATTGGCATGTCATCGAAATTTGAATAACGTTATCAACAGTCCACAGCCATTTAAGGATAACAACGAAATCAGATCGTAACATGAAAAACAGTTAAATGAAAACATTTATGAGGTTTTTGTGCAGCAATAAGAAAAGAAAAGTAAATGTTAATTTAAAATACATAATAATTTATGGAACTTTTTCTAAGCTGAATGTTAATGGAAACTTTTTAAGTTGATATAAAATAAATAATATAAAGAAATTTGACGCTCTTAGAAACTTAAATTCCTGTTAAAATCGAAAGATATACGAGTTTCATTTTTGCACAATAAATTCGTTGACAAAATCTAGTTCTGGATCTTTGTAAAACATATAGAAAGACTGATACTATATTTTATTGAATCATTGTGTCACAGATTGAAATATTCGGTATTAATGGCAGCTGGCGCTTTCCATAGTTTTGTTTAAGCGTTATTTATTCGGATATATTTAGTTTTTAACCTATATTTTTTTAACTTCCTGTATTGAATCGGTTCAACTTGACAATTTCAATGATTGATGTACATTGTCGAGCTCAGCCTTGCAATATCGTGAACAATGGGACTCGCTCTTTTTGTGCTGTATTTGTTTAATTGTTTTGTCTATTGTATATGTTTCTTTGTGAGAAAGATGTCCATTGTTCTTTTAAATATTTATAACTGCTTCCGGTTTATATTCCTGTTGTCTTGCTCACGCTTATGAGTCAGGCGCTTAGTAAGATACTATCTAACTCTTGTACATTGATATTTTCAGATTTTTTAGTTTACTTTGTATCAATTCATATATTATTTTTGTAAAGACGATGTGGAAATAAATAGTATCATTACTTTACTTTGAATGAAAAATCACCAAACTTACACCCAGGGTTTGTTTCCATATATCCTGGGTAGAATATATGACAATAAGTACGTTTGTTGAACCTCAACAATTCACAAAAACGAACTCGTCATAATTCGTACGAATTTGGCACACACTTGTGAATTATTCGTTCAGCACCTTTACCATCCTGGGAGCAGAAACGAATTCGTCACACGTAAAAGAAAAAATAAGAAGCGACATGTTAAGATATTGTCAAACGAAATTTTTCACACATTCACAGTTAATATTACCAAGTTAGATCGCTGGTAGATTGTTATCCCCGCCGATAAAATCGTGAGGGGGTAATGTTTTGGCATTGTCCGTGTGTGCGTCCATCTGTGTGTCCGAGTTTCGTTTCCGTGCTTGTTCTTGAAAATTAATGGCTAGATTTCAATGAAAATTCATGAGAATATCGTTGAGGTTACCGGGTCCGACCATTAAATCCAGAGTTATTACCCCTGATTAGTTAAACAATATACATAAAGTATTTTCGTTTCCGGGCTTTTTCTTGAAAAACTATTGGCTAGATTTAAGTGAAATATGACGTTATACTGTGAAATAACAACCGTGAAAATAACAATGAAAATAACAAGACGCAATAACCATCCATAAAAGCATAAAAGAAACAGAAAATTTGTTCAATACAGTGAAAGATCGTTTGTTATTTCACTTGTGATAATAAAAAACAATATTTCACTCATGGCAGCAGTAGCCACGAGTGAAAATATTGATTTTTATGATCACAAGTGAAATAACAAACGATCTTTCACTGTATTGAACAAATATCCACTATATCTTAAACTATGCTGCCGTTATTTAATGGACGGCTTCACTTAAAATTTACATACTTCTTAGCAGCTATCGCAATAAAGTCTGAAAAAAAAACATGCTAAGGATGTGTCTAAACAATATACACATGTGATGTTATGAATATAATATGTTATGAAAGTAAATTGTAAGTATTAGATAATACCACTCATTAGTTATGCAGTATGTATACAGTTATATTCATTTTTGTACTATTTTTCGTCATCGGCTCACTGGATTTCAGAACCATCAAAAGGCATTTTTGCTTGAGATTGATCAATTTTGCTGGAGGTTTTGTATCATAAGTAAGGATAATAAATTATCTTCATCAATAGCTTAGCTGAGGTACATACTACAAAGAAACTTCAGTCAAGTGATGAGAATCATGCGGCGGGGGTGGGGGGGGGGGGAGGGAATATCAGTTCAACGAATTCGCTTGTTTTACTTAGTTTACCAAGACCCACATACAAAACGACAGGACATGCTAAGCAGAGAAAACTTGCAAAATTTCGATTAGTGAATCACAGCGGTTAAATGAAGTTTTGAGCATTATTTATTTGATACTTATACACCATATGTTTACAATGTGTATGGTATTATGGACACACAAACTGAGGGATATGTTATAAATGGTCATAAATATGAAATTCTGTAATGTTTTGTTATGTATTTTATGATCAATATCTTAAGGCTTTAACAAAACTGTCAAATTATTGAAGTGTCTAAAGCTATATATCCGCTACAAAACATACTGTTTGAGTGTAAAAAAAGAGATTTTTTTTCATTCTTTTGTATGAAATAAATATGGTTATGAACTGCCTTAAAACGGAATGGCGCATGCACGAGATAATTGCTAAACTTAAAATAGCAGAATATTTTGTTCAGGAACATTTTATTCTCTTTACGCACAAGACTCGTGCGTTAATAATAGAGTCATCCGATGTAACAACGTGTACAACGCTTTTTAAAATCGACCTTAAGATAATGGAAGCAACATAATTTTACTGTTGATAAATCTTTAAAAACAAGCAATTTTCATAGTATTGCAAGCAATCCATAAGTCCCCTACCGGTAAGAGCCCAAGCAACATTCTGAAGGGCCATTGGCCATTCACTTAGGTTCCTATTTTAAGTAAATTTGTTGAAAAAGTTCTTTAAAAGTGATCACAGGAAACAGTTTTTATGTACAGACAGACGGACTGAAGGACACTCTAAAGTTATTTTTAAACATCCCTGTTATCAAAATATAACATTTTTAAAATCCTATCATGATTGAAGAAGTTGGAGTAAAAATTACCAATTTCTCAAAAAAAAGTCTAAGTTCAAAAGGGGCATAATTCTGGAAATAGTCTTGCTAGAGTATTGAACACTCACAAATGTTGAGTGACAATAAGAAACATTTATATGAAGTTTGAAGTAGATACATTCAGAAAAAGAAGTTATTAAAAAAAAACAATGTTTTTTTCATGAAAATTTTAAGTTCAAGGGAGGTAATTCTGATAAATTTTGTGCTAGAGTTGTAAACCTTGTCACATATGATGTGGTTGATGACAAGCAACTTATATTTAAAGTTTGAAGAAAATACCTTAAGAAATAAAGAACTTATAGTGAAAAAACTTAAAAACTAGAATCAGAAATCTTGAAATTCAGTCTATTTGTTGCCATAGCAACCAGAATTTTCAACATAGGAAGATAAAAAAGAATGTGCATAATTTCCATACTGCCATCTACCCATATGTCAAGTTTCATAAACATATTTTTAGTACTTTTTGTGTTATCACTGGATCCAGGTTATGTGTAAAATTTGCCATATTTTCAGTCTATTTGTTGCCATAGCAACCAGAATTTTTAACATAGGAAGAAAAGAAAAAGACGTGCATAATCTCCATACTGCCATCTATCCATATATCAAGTT